TGAAGCTTGTCTATTCTGAGGTTTTACAAGTCTCACTCCTGCAACCTGAATTTCACTTTAATAAAATGATGCTTCATGTCTTGCGTTGCTCAGGAGAGCTTGAGTGTTGAGATTTTTATTCTTGCTCATGATTTTAAAAAAATTAATGAGAACTAAGAATTTGCAAAGGGCCTCAAGCAATATAAATTAGTAACTGATGTGATTCTTTGAACCACACGATGATAACTGTATGTGAAAGTTTGCTTGGATTTTTTTTTTTTTTTTTGCATTCTTCTTATAGCCTTAGTTTTGTAGCTTTGCTACAAATGCCCAGCTGCTTCCAGCAAACACACTCCCCACCCATCTAAGCAACAGAGTCATCATAAAGGTCTACAGAGCTCTACACACATTCCGTAGTCCAAACTCGGGCTGAATGGACAACCTGGCGCGGGCGGAGTCGAGTCTGGAGCTCTTGCCGCATCTTAGTCTCGCGCGTCGTCACCCTTGCAGCATGGTCTGCGCTAGGGAAGGCTCTGCGCCTCTAACCCGCGCCGTTCTTCCTGTCTAGAAACAAGCCAATGACCTGGTGAGCACCCTGATGAAATGTACACCTCACTACATCCGCTGCATAAAACCGAACGAGACCAAGAAGCCCCGAGACTGGGAGGAAAGCAGGTACGGGTCCCCTGAGCCGAGGGGCGTCAGCTGGCGCCTTGCCTGAGTCTCAGCCAAGAGTCCGATACCGCACTACACACTCGAGTAAGTGGGTTTTAAGAAGCCCAGGCGTGAACTGGGCTGCTGTAGCGTGGTTGGCACTCCTGGCAGGCAGGACGGCTTCCTGGGGCCCCTGCTCCAGGTGTGGCTTCCTGTGCAGAGGCTTCACCGCAGCCCGAGTGTGCAGCCGATTGTGTGCTCCTCCCGCGTCCTCTGGGGCTTCCCCACCCAGGGATTGTGGAGCACGGGCTCTCCTCCTCCCATTGCAGACGAGCTGCTTGGGTTCTGGCGGAGCTCCTGGCCCTGCATTCAGACTTGCTGCCCTGGGGAGCTCCAGGCCTCGGCCTCTGGAAGTGTGGCTTTTGGAGGGGATTCCTCTCCAGAGACAGAAATGGCACAACGTGGGGTCAGCAGATTGCGCCCAGCCGTGTCTCTAGAGGAGGTGACAGCACCCCCGAGATGCAGAAATCACGGTGTGTCCTGGACTGATGGCAGGCACGCCACATTGGTGAGGCTGACTGTCCTGCTGACGGAGTTTTCCGCAAGAACATTTCCTGGTGGTGGAAGTAGTGATGAGTAACAGTTCTTTAACCTGTGTGCTCTATGGAAAAGGAGCATTGGTGCTCTGTCAGCAGGCCGTGTGCTCCTGGCCTCAGCAGTGAAGCCAGCACTGGTGCGGAGGCCTTCAGAGAGCAAGCCGCCCCCTCTCTGTCCCTCCCAACATGCCATCCATTGTGATCGTGTCCACGGATCAGTCCCTGATAGTACGTACAGCCTTCACTGGCCAGCACATCCCAAAGCCCACCAGGAACCAGGCCTTCAACACAGGAGCCTTTTGGGCATTGTGGTCTGCAACTGTAACACCCACCGTTAGCACTGTTGATGCCAAGTGTACCAGACGTTGCAAATAGTGTGTGCCCTCGCGGCCTTTCAGCCAGTCTGTACCATGCAGCCCAGACCCGGCTCCCCAGCGTAGGTGATCAGCTGAGTGCTCAGCATCTGTCCGCGATGTAGCAGAATCACAGCGCTGGATCATGAATTAATCACAAACTCTAGGATCCTCCCCAAGACGATGTGCGGCTTTGGGGGACATCTAGACACAAACCAAGTGGGGCGCACCCATGTGTCACCCCAGCCCTGCGGGCCTTCTGCGCCAGAACCCCAGGCAGGGCTTTCTTTGTGATCTGAAATTCCCCAAGTTGGAGAATCTCAACTTAGGGGTGTTCTTTCTGCATGCATTTTCCAACACACCAGGCCAGATTGTTACTGTTAAAGCCACCGACATCTGTAATTCAGATATATTTCAAAACATTTTTAACTTAGACATTTAAAATTAGTATCTTTGGAGCCTGGGAGATGGCTCAGTAGAATAAGCGCTTCCCTGGCAAGCGCAAGGGCCTGAGTTCAATCCCTGGTTCTGCCAAATAATACTAATAAAATAAAATAAAATTAATATCTTCGTGTACTTAAGAGTAGAATAAATCCTAGCTGTGCAGATGCATTGAGTCTAGACCCCACATTAAATTTAAGCTCAGTAACAAAACAGCCCCACATCACTCAATTCAAAAGATAAAAAGTCCTTCCTTGCATAGCAAGTTCAAGGCCAGGCTGGGCTCACCACGTGGCCCAAGCTCGCCCTCCTGCTGTCACCTCCTGAGTGCTAGGACCCAGCGTGCGCCACCACCCAACTTGCTGCCGGTCTCTGAAGTGGATATGTACTGCCTTCTTATGTGGTGCTGCAGTTACAGTATTCTATAACATTTTAAAGCTTCATATTGTGGGAGAGGGCATCTTGGTGTCTGAGCATTGCCCATGACAGTCTTCTCAGTGCATGTTTCCGTGCAGCCTGCGATTGAGGGCTGAGGAGGTGGTCGGCCAGAGGCCAGGGGACGGCTGCTCCTCTGCTGGGCTCCTACACCCTCAGGTTCTCGTGCACGTCCGTGCCGGCCGGCTTCGCGGATTTCCCATGGGGCTGTAGAGCTACGCATTCCCGTGCGCTGGTAGCCTCCTCTTGCGTGGGCATCCGACATTTCACTTGTTTGTTCATTGGCTGCCTGGCGTCTCTCCTTTTCAGAGTAAAGCACCAGGTAGAATACCTGGGCCTGAAGGAGAACATCCGAGTGAGGAGAGCTGGTTATGCCTATCGGCGTGTCTTCCAGAAGTTCCTGCAGAGGTAAGAAAAAAAGTGACTCCAAACTTTTTTTTATGTACCAATTTAAGTTATGTGATTTAATAGCTATTTTATTTTAATTTACTTTATTTTTGTACTGGGAATGGAACCTAAAGTGCCCCACTTGGCTCAGACTTGCAGTCCTCCTGCCTCAGCCTCCCGGAGTGCTGGGCTCACAGCTGTGGCCACCACATGTGGCTGCTCACCGTCTTGGCGGCGCTGCGTCTCTGTTAGCACAGCTGATCGTAGAGAGAATTCCTTCTCTCGCCAGGTGTCAGCCTTCAGTTCTTTCCTGCCCACCAACCGCTCAGCTGCTTTCTGTCCTGTGGACTCGGCCACAGACCGTCTGTGTGTTCCTGTGAATGGCTCTTTGCCTTAGCATGTTTCCAAGAGTCACCCATGTCACTGACACAGGGATGACACAGGACCTGCAGATGACCCTGAGGAACCTGCTAGGTGTCAGGCACACCACATTCATATTCCCCAGAATTGAAGGATGAACTGTAAGGAACAGTGGAGGTTGTTAAGAGTAACAGATATTTATCGAGGGGCGAGATACGGCTCCTGAGAGACGGGGCTCCCAAGTGGTTTGCCAATAAGTCCACTTCCCAGAGGAGGCTTTGTAGAGCAGAGTCAGTAGGTGGGGACCACATGGGTCAGAGCTATGACCAGCCAATAGGATGAGAGTATGGCCGCTTAGTTAGTATTGACCCAGTGGGCACGCAGGTCACGTGGCAAGTGCACGCAGAAAGAACGAGCATTCTTAGGCAGGGGTGGGTCCGAGGGGCTTGGCCACCCTCCCCATGCCTGATCCCCTTCTGGACTACTGGGCCAGGTGTCACCATGACCTTTATCTCGAGGCCTGGCCTCCCACAGATGCGTCTGGCCACAGTGGTGGTGTTTTCATCTTTTGTATTGACCCTCAAGGGCCCAGCCCTGTCTGCAGCCTGTGATACTTTATCACGGCTTGGGCACCTGCAATTTTATGCCAGGGTTATGGCTCCATTCCATTCCTGCGTAGCCGCATGACACTCCTCCCTGGCTGTCCCTGCCTTATTTCTCCTGCTCCTCGCGGCTTGGTATGCATCAGTGGTTTCTATTTTTTGGCTGTGAATAACGCTGTGGTGAAAACCGACGCAGCAGCGTGTGGGGACAGTTGTCACTGCCCTCGGGAGCTTGCTCCGAGGCACAGCTGTGGGGCCACCTGGCAGTTCCGAGTTTAACCTTGGGCAGGAAGTGCCGGGTCGTTTTGGAGCGAGCCCCCCACCGTATGCTCTGACGCCCAGCGCGTCCCAGTCTCTGCCAGCATGTCAGCCTTGGGTACGCCTGCAGGGGTGTGAAGTGACGCTGTGCTTCCAGCTGGGACGTGCTGGTCCCGTGCTGACTGGCCTTTTGTGTTTCCTCTTGGGAGAAAGGTGGTTCAGGTGCTGGGCCTGATTTTGGGACTTCACGTATGTTTATTACTGAGTTATAATATTACTCTTTTTGTTGTGGCTGCAAAGTGTAGCATCACTAGTGGCCAGGGCTTAGTACACGCTCTGTGGAGTGACACTTTGGTCAGGGATTTAGGGTGGGGGGTGTGGTGATGCACACTGTAGTCCCAGCCCTCAGGAGGCTGAGGCAGGAGGATCAAAGTGAGCTTGAGGCCAGCCTGAGCTACGTAGTAAATTCAAGGCCAGCATGTCTCAGGGGAAACAAAGACTTTAGGGTAATTGTGACTCAGGCAGGCGTGAAGTTTCGCTTAACTGAGTGAATTTACAGTATGAAAACAGTTGCAAGAAAATAGTTCCCCTACTTAGGAAATAAGCTTAAAGTATTTAACTTTAGTTTTTTGTACAGTTCAGGTTTAAATTTAAACTGATTTTTCATAATTCCTTTAAGTGACTCCTACTTTATGTTGTCCTTTGAAAAGGCTAAAGCTGAGTGTGCTCGAGACGTGACATCATCCCAGCTTCCTCAGCGACTCCGGGCTTGTGCTGTGCGGGCTGCATCTATTGAGTTTTCTTTAAGAAATAGGGAAGAAAAAGAACAAAGTCAAATTTAGCATTTCATTTTAGTCAGAAAACCCTTTTCATTCCTGGTATTATTATACAGAAGCAAGATGTAAAGATTTTTTTCTTAATTCACATACGACGTAGCAGGGCGCTTGCAGTCCAGTTCTCCTTGGAAGCCCTTGCTCCCTGCGCCGTGGGATTGGCGCAGCGTCGCGGCCCCTGGGGCCTGAAGTAGCAGGGCCCTTCTCCTCACGGGGGAGCCACATGTCCTGATCGCTCAGTCCCAGTTGCGGAGGAATGCAGTTGCAAATCAAAGGAAGAAGTTAGGAGTTTTCTGGGAAATAAGGAGAGAAGATTAGCCCCTGGGTTCCCCAGAGGGGTCCCAAGCTCCTTACCACTAGGACCCTGTGTTGGGTGATTTATACAGCGAAGTCACAGTGTGGGGACAACATGGGGGGTCAGACCGCCATCAGCCTGCAGGCCTACAGGCACAGCCCCTGAGCTGTGATCCAGGGGGGAATCGGGCCACACAGCACAGGCGTATGGGAGGGCCACCGGCGATTGTGGACGGGGCAGAGCAGGATGCTGCGCTCACCCACCTCGGCCACTGGTGTCTGTCTCGCCTTCCTGGGCAGGTGGCACTCACTGCAGTGTGTTCTGAGTCCCTGCTCTTCCCTTAGGGGGCGTGCAGGCCTGGCCATCGCGTATTTGTCTGGAGGCCGGGCCTTCTTCACGTGCGCCTCCTGCCACAGCTCTGAGGTCTTTATTTTTGGGCTGGCTCCCGTGAGAGCCCCGCCTTCTCCTTTATATTAATTTCTGCCTAACGTAGCTGCCCTCTAACAGTCTCTTTACTCCGTTCCCATGCATGAGCTTCCCAGTAATTCTGGAGGTAGCTTAGACCAGGAAAGAGGTTCACCCTCACTGTTTTCTGAATCAAAGGTCCAGTACCTGTAGAATAAACCAGAGCGTGTAAAAGAAACCCTCAGGACGCTGATGAAGTGAACGCGTGGCTCTCCTGCAGCACCACAGCACCCTTTGCTCGCTGCACCCGGCAGGCGTTAGTGGTCAGATTTCGGCCTCTGCGCGCAGCCCAGCAGTGCTGGTTTGGGTTTCTCACCGCATGTTGGCACTCTGCTCGGGGGACTCTTGTTGGGAAGTGCCCTGTGTCCCGACTTTTCCTCCGTTACACCCCGATGCCAGCTTTGTGCTGCCTCCCAGATGTGACAACAAAGCGCGTATCCAGGCGTCAAGGAGTGTCCCTGAGCACAGCCCGTTGTGAGCCTGCCAGAGTATCAGGACATTTTTCAGCAAATCACATTTCTTTGAAAATACCTTTTTGTGTGTGAGTCTCTTTGAGACAAGGCTCCCTGTGCTGGCCTTGAACTCACCTGATAGCCCAGGCTGGCCTTGAACTCGAAGTGATCCTCCTGCCTCAGCCTCCCGAGTGGTGGGATTATAGGCATGGGCCATCACATCCAACCTGAACGTACCTTCTTTTTAAATTAAGAGTAAAAACAAAATCAAATACATGAAGCAGTGAATGAAAAGGGGTTTCCTATGTGCGCTGCGTGGCTTAGCTGCAGGCGCTCCTCACGTGAACCGTGGGAGGGCCTTATTACCAGACGCCCAGATCCCTTCCGGTGCTGTGCACAGCACTATACTCTGTGCCAACCCCGAGTGGGCATTTGGTGGCATAATTTGTTGGATTAACATCATTAGACCACATAGGAAGTTGACTCATGCTGCTGTGCGGCATCAGGTGGGCATGTTCACGCTGAGGAGTCTTTTCTCTAATTAGGAAATAGGATTTACTTCTGTAGGAAATGCATATTGTCAGGGAATG